AATTAAAGCTGCTGATGCGATTAGGGTTTCTAATCAGCTGAGCTTGAAACAGGCAGATTATCATGGATTATCCAGGTGGACCCAGTGTTATCAGAGGAGTCCTTATAAGTAGAAAAGGGATGCAGAAGAGTCAGAGAAGATGTGATGATGGAAGCACAGTCACACGGAACAATGCAATGTAAAGACCCGCCTGCCATTGCTTGCTTTCCAGATGGAAAAAGGGAGTCATGAGTCAAGGAGTGGTGCAGTCTCAAGCAGCTAGAAAACGCAAGAAAACAGATTCTCCCCTTAGAACCTCCAGAAAGGAGTGCAGCTGACATCTTGATTTCAGCACACTGAGAGTGGTGCTGGGTTTCTAATCTGTAGAATTTAGGTAGTAAGTTTGTGTTAATTTAAGCCACTGATTTGGGGTAATTTTTTGGCAACAATAGGAAAACATTACACTACTAATATGAGAAATCTGCTTGTAAACATGGGTAGATGAGAAAGCAAAAATTAAAAGGTGACTGAGGTAAAAGAATATCTATCTACTTGTGTGACTCAGACAGGCCTCTGGGGAGGTTTGCCACAAGTAGTTAGAGGGAGGTGCAACTAGTGACTGTGCCCAGTAGGAAAGTGACTAATACAATATGATGGGAGGACCCTGAGCTGTGTTTCCCAGTGTTAACACACTTCCTGGCCAACTAGTCAGCTCTTAAAACACCTAAAAACCTTTAATAACCATGTATGACAGAGGAATGTATAGGTTTTTTGTAGTTTGGGGAAAAATCTGACCTGTATATATAGAAACACAATTAGAAAATCATGTTAAGTGTATGTTAGAAAGGAAAGTAGTCTTGGAAACTATAAATCAAATTCGCATTTTATAAATAAAATGAAACTGAAGCTCAGCGAGGTATTATGGCTTGCTGATATTAATTTATGTCAGCTAATACAAGAAGTCAGTTCTCCGAATTAGTAGATTTGCCTAAAAAGTGTAGGATGTGGTTACAACTCCGTAATTATTCTATTTCCTAATAAACTCTAAAAATAAACTGTAGGAGCAAAATCATTGTCTCTGGATAGACAGAAAACATAAATTAAAACCCCAGCCAAAATGGAATATAAATATTGGATGTGAAGAAGGACACATGCTAAACTTGAGAGGCACTACAAGTCCTTGGGAGAAAAGCAACTTCTTCAGAGTTGCAATAGCTAAGCACAGTGAAAATTCCAAGTAATTGTCCCAAACAAGGCCCTTTATCTACCCACATTTTGTGAATAGGAGGAGCCCCTTTGAGATTCTCAAACAAGTCTTGTTCCTTCAGTGGGTATGACAGCCCAGTTGGTCTCAGCCAACCTCAGCAATAATGACAAGGATAGTAAAAATAGCTGCTAACATTATTGAGCACTTGCTGTGTGCACTGCCATGTACCATTCCCAATGCCATGTACCATTCCATCCCCATTTTACATGCAAGATAACTGAAGCACAGAAAGGTTTAGGAACTTGTCAAAAGTTATTCAGCTACTAAGTGGTAGAGCTAGAATCTGAGCCTGGATAGCCTGACTCCAGAGCTAAGCTGTAGACAGGCTCTGACTTAGCTCTTGCTTTAGACAATGGACCACACGGGCAAGAATTAGGTCTTGCTCATCTTTGAAGTTTCAGTGCCTCGCACCATTTCAGCACAAATAGAGCAGAATAGCACAGAGGTCAGAGACTAGGCTGTAGGGTCAGTCATTCCAGGCTTTAAAAAATGACACCAGCACTCAGTATGACCTCGAGTAAGTTACTTACCTTCTCACAATTTCAGATTGTTTACCTTAAAAAGGAAAAAGCATAATAAAAGAGACATCTTTATTATTTATTATCTGTCACATAAGGTTGTTGGGAAGATTAATGCTATAACACATTTCAAAGGCTTAGCCTAGCACTGTATTTGATAAATAATAAACAAGACTCCATACAACGGAAAGTTATTTTTGTCTTCTTTCTTTGCTTTTCAAAATTATTTTTAAATGTTCCAAAAACCTAAATGTCTTCCAAGTCCCCTCACAAGAATCATGAAAAGTCCATTTAAAGAAAAAAAAATATTTTAAATTTAAAGAAAATAGGATAAAGCAAACATCATTCCAAAGAAGTTTGATTCCCTTAAAGCTCAAAAGAGAAGCTAGGCTATAATTTGGTAAAACTGGCAGTAGCAGTGGAAAGTAATTGACAAAGTACAAAGTTTTCTGAATGTTTATAGGAGCGTATTAAGGTAGCTAATCCATAGGTGTTCATTACATGGCTGTAGACCGTTCTATCTACCAGTAGATATTCTGTTGCATAAATCTCCCTGTTCCTAGAGGTACTACTCATATGATAGTAGTTTCCAGAACCTTATTTATCTTGGCCTTTGATCCAAAAAATATTACTGAGCAAAGCACAATGCTAGGTCTTATGAACACAAAAACATGTAATACACAATCCCTATTCTCAAGGAATTTATATTCTACTTGCAGAGACAGAATATGTCCATGCAAAATAATTAACATAATAAGTGCCATAGACTAAACACCAACTATAGTCCAAATGGGTTGCACTTTTTATTGCTCATGCTAGTCACTAATGTTGGTAGATTTTTGTAAGAACTAACAGGCATCTTTCAGGAATTGACCACTTCAGTAGTTACTCTTTAAGAGCAAGAGAGATCAGATGCAGAAAAATGCAGAAATACATCCTACCCTCTTCTCAGAGTTTGGCTAAAATCTCAGTTTGGCTAAATCTTCTGACAGTAGATGATATACTTATTTGCAGATCTGTCTCCCAGCTAGCCTAAGCATTAGTGAAGGGAAATGTCCCTTTTTGGGCACATTTCCATATCACATAAAGGGGCTCAATTAATAGCTGCTGAATGGAATGGATATCTGTAGTTTATTATACATCATTAACATTATTGTTAAAGTTTTATCATATTTGACATTCTATAATTTTCTCCTTTAGTCTGGCTAAACACAATCATAAACAGACTCAATTATTTGTTGACAGTGTATTTTCCTAATTAAGCCCAATATAATTATGTGGCTTAAACGTAACTCTTTGTAAGCAAGAAGCTGGTCTATGTGGACCTAATATTTGCACAAGGCATGAATAAGGTCCAAACACACACTAGGAAAGAAACAATGCTATCCACATCCACTCTGCTGATGACCTGTCCATCCTTCCAAGTTACCTATGCTGTTTGTTGCCTCCTCTTGGAAAGCTTTTATCTCCCCATATCATGTCCAACCATTCCCTTCACCATATTACCTCATCATCATCCTTAGGATTTCAGCAAATTCACTCCCTCAGGAAAGATTTCCCAGACAACCTTTGATACCGACAGAGCCAATACTTCTCCTTAATGGCAATCATTATAACTGATAAACTAACATTTTCCACTAATTTTATGATTATTTCATTACTGTCTTCTGTTTCAGATTGTATAATCCATGTATGAACATAATATGTATGCATTTTGTTCATGATTATGTTTATATCACAGAGCAATGTGTCTTGTTTATGTGTCTGTGTATGTGCGTGTATATATATGTACACATATACACATTTATTGACACACACAAGACACAAACATATATGCTTTCACATAAGACACTTTGCTCCATAACCCTATACACATAAAAGTATAGGTGATGCTCAGTAAATATTTTGAATGAATGAATTCAACAGATTTTACCCATGAATCCTAAAGGAAGATTTGAGAGCAGGACTGGGTCATTCCAATAACATATAAGCAGAGAAACTTTTCAACCTACCTTGTCCTGTTGTCTTAACAGTCCTAGGAGACATCAGTTGTGTTTCTGGAACAACAGCACCCCAAATAGTGTTGTACATGCCATATTGCCAATCTGTACCTGCAATGAGCAAGCAGTATATTGTGTAGCTCATCAAGAGGAAAAGGCAGGCCAGGTGTGGTGGCTCACGCCTGTAACCCTAGCACTTTGGGTGGCTGAGGCAGGTAGATCACCTGAGGTCAAGAGTTCAAGACCAGCCTGGCCAACATGGTGAAACCCCATCTCTAATAAAAATACAAAAATTAGCCAGGTATGGTGACGGGCCCCTGTAATTCCAGGTATTTGGGAGGCTGTGGCAGGAGAATCACTTGAACCCAGGAAGTAAAGGCTGCAGTGAGCTGAGATCCTACCACTCCACTCCAGCCTGGGTGACAGAGTGAGACTGCCTCAAAAAAAAAGGAAAAGGCAGAGGGAAGTGGTAAGAACTCACCTACATCTTTGGGGTTCTCACCCTGTTTTGGTCAGGATATTAATTCACCTGGAAACATAGTGCTCTTACTTCACTACTGACCATTATTAGCTCCTAATTACCAAATATCACCTCCTTATCTCTGTCTCTGTATCTCTGTGTTTTGCTCTCTTTTGCTAGCTCTCTTTCTTGGTTTCTTTCTTACTCTCCAGGACATTATATGTAAAACAAGTATAAGAAGGCTCTGAAAGGTAAAAAAAAAAAAAGAATTTCGACCAGTTAGAGACCTTGGGATCTGAGGAACAACACAGCAGTGCGTTCCCTGGGTTTCCTTTTTGGCTGATATATCCCAAACTGGGTGCTGGAGAAGTCAGCAACCTAGGCACAACAACAGGTACAGACCAAAAAAGGAAAAAGAAAAATCCCAGCAAATGCCACTCTCTGCAACCAAAGAACCAGGAATCATGCAGCCTTCCAGGACAATTCCACTTTATTGCAACCAAAATGGCAGAAAAAGCTGGCCCCACCCCAACCAGCAAAATCCATGGGAGAGCCTAGGCTTTCCTCCTTGCCAGGCTGCAAGGGAGCACCTCAATCCCCCTACCAGGGTGATGTCAGAGAAGGATGACTAGGGAGCTTGGACTTTTATCATCACTGAGCAGTAACTGGAGCTGTCCTCCCCCAGAGTGTTAGTGGAGACCACGTGGGGACATGGAAGCAGTGACAAGGCACCGCTCCCCTCTCTCAGAAGAAAGAGGAGCCCCTCCCCATCCCAGGTGTCAACAGAGGCTGAGTGCAGACCTGGATTTATACCCCCAACCTGGTAGTAATAAGATGGGCTCCACCCCTTTCTTTACCAGACTGGTGTCAGAGGAAGCCTATAAATACGGAAGACTGAGAGTCTCATAACGTAACATTCAAAGTCTCATGACATAATAGTCAAAATGTCTAGGTTTCCATCGAAAATCACATATCATATCAAGAGTCAGGAAAATCTCAACTTGAATGAAAAAAGACAATCAATAGATCCCAACATCAAAATGACAGATGGCAGAATTATCTGGCAAATATTTTTAAAACAGCCATTATAAAAAATGTTAAATAAACTATTACAAACATACTTGAAACAAACAAAAAATAGAAAGTCTCAGCAGAAGTATAGAAGCTATAAAGAAGAACCAGATAATATTTTAGAACTGAAAAATACAAATGCCAAAACAAAAGACAATAGCAGAATAAATGAGACAGGAGTAAAATCAATGAACTTGAAGATAGAGCAGCAGAAATTAGGCAGTGTGAATAACAGAGGGAAAATAGACCAAAAAAATAAAAAGAACTTCAGGGACTTACGAAACTGTAACAAAAGATCTAACATTCCTGTCACTGGAGTCTCGCAAGGAGAGAAGGAAAAGAGCAGGGCTAAGAAAAGGAATCAAAGAAATCATAGTTAAAAACTCCAAAAAAAAGTAATGTGACCTCATTGGTAATTAAGAATGCAAATTGAATAATAAAATAACATTTTTAGCTTTTGCTTCTCTAATTGGCAAAAAATATTTATGATTGATGATATTGCATATTGGTAGGTATATAAGAAATTAGAATTCTTCCAGTCAGTGACAGTTTAAATTGGTGACATGTTTTTCATTAAGTTTTTCTGATTTGCATTTTGTCTATTGCTATCAAAATTGTAAATGTGCACATTCCTTGATGCTGAAATTATATTTCCAGAAATAAATCTATCCCATGAAATAGCCACATATGTTCAGAATCATATAAACTATATAAAAAATATTTATTGCAATATGTATAATAATGGAAAATTACAAATAAAAAATCCATTAAAACATAAATAGTTGATGAATTGTGACTTATTTGTACTATAGATATAACATAGTTGTTTAATAAATATATGAGGTAGACTTACCCACTTTCATATGGAAAAAACTCCAAGTTTTAAATGCTAGTAAAAGAACACTATGTATAATATGGCCTCAAATACAACCACACAAAGAAAGGTGCATGTTTGTGAATATAATGCATAGAAAGTGGATATAGAGATTAGACATTTTTAAGAGTATCCCCAGTTCCAAGCTGTGTTTGCTTGAAACTTCGAATAAACTGAAAAAAAAAACAGAAAATGTCACTGTTAAAGAATGGTGTGGAAGGACTGATAGAGATTATGAAGTGGCCAAAATCTCCCTAAAGCAAAGGTTGACAGTTAATTGAGTTTGGCAGAGGTGGGTGACAAAGGGAAATGTTTACACTTCGTTCTCCATTCTTTTATGTCTTTGGCTCATGCCCAATGTGTTAATATATTAATTGTATAATAAAAGAAAAGTTATGAGGATATAACCATATGATTAAAAAACAACAATGGATAAAATAATAATGGCCCATATTTATTGAGTGTCTACAAATGTCATGTGTCAAGCATGGTGCCAAGTGCTTTTCATGTATTATTCTATTCACAAAAACTCTATGAGATAGGTGGTAAGTCCCACTCTGAGTGCTTTAAGTGTATCTCATTTAGTGTTCACAGCCACTCTACAATATCAGTACCATTACTAGTGCTCATTTCACAGAAAAAATAAAGTATTTAGGGCAACTACCCCTCTTAGTAGCAGAATTGAGTACTCAATTGTGTTATTCAACACCAGCATCTACATTCTTAGACCCTATTTCACAGAGAAAAAAATTCACATATCTGATAAGCCTAAACAAATTTGTCTCTTCATCAACACTGGAAGAATATTGACTGTTTTACAAGCTTTAAACCTGATTCAGGGGAAGAAAAAGAAAATTATTCTATGAAATAAAAGAGAGACATTGTTTAATTGTACATGTGTGTGCCTCTGAAATATAGGACAATGTGCTGTTGTGTTCAGACAAATCCACCGTTATGTTCTCTTTGGTGTCATTTTATGTGTAGCAATTATACTAAAAATAATGGATATTAAACTAATCCTGACAAAACAAGCTAATTAATATTAGTGCACAGTTATCTAATTTTCTCTGTATTGAGATAGGTAATTCTAAATGATAAACTAAGATTAGTGAAACACTTTAACTCATTTTTTAAAAAATACTACATATCTCAAAAAAGGGAGGAAATCTATAAATATCTTTAAAACTGAAGTGTGGTCATTTGAAGACAACATTTTTAGTATAGGTAGAAGCTTCTACTCTGAAGCATTGAGTGAAGTTAATGAGTCAATTTCTTTCTAAGATTAAAGAAGACATTTGACACTGTGTAGACTTCTTAAACTTCAGCCTCTGCCCTCATTTTTCTAGGTTGTACAGCAGAAACCATCATAACCACAAGGTCACATTATACAAAAGAAAAAAGTTTTGGAAACGTTTAAGACAGAGAAGATAAGCAGGACCAAATTTTCCCATAGTAGGTACCACAAACCTTTCGTATAGATGACATCTAGCTAGTCAAATGAGATTAGATCTGTTGTGTCAGCCTGTTTTTCTGATAGTATCTCGACAGAACCAAGCTGCAATAAGATCTACCTACCTCTTAAAAACAAGAAAAATACCACTCCCAGAATAAAGCAAGAGTCTCTGTAGGAACACATACTCCACAATCACAGAACTTGTCTAGCTTTGCTCATCATTATGCCTAGTGCCCAGGATCTCCACGAACACTTCTGGAGAGAACATGGTCTCAGTTTTGCACAGTCCATAGCTCCTTAATCTATGCTTTAAGGAGCTTCTCCTCAGGTTTCTGGGACCACCCTTTGCTAAGCCTCCTACCTCTCTTGATGCTCCTCCTGTTTACATCATCTCTCCTCTTCAGCCACCACTTTACCACAGGGGTCTCCCCAGGCTTTCCAGCCTGCATTTGAGATGACGTCAGGTACAAAGTGACCAAGGGAAAGGGGGAGGGAAAGAATGGATAAGCTAAAGGTGGTTTACCTGTAGTATAAGGTCACTTCACCCACTCTAAATACTAGAATATTTGGATGAAAGGCCAGCAAATCTAAAAAGGAGTCATAAATTGAAACATAGGGGTAAAGGCCAACCCAAAGTCTGATCATTTAGGATCCAAGGACAAGCTCCATTAGGCTCGGCAATTTCCAAAAGGGACAATGGTTGTGATCTGGACTCTAAAGATCTATTCAGGTCTCTGCCCAGCCCACCTGCATCCACGAAAGCCTACCTACTCACAAGTGAGAGTCTCTGCAGTCATATCTAAGCCACCTTACCTTCTATGCTGGCCATAGTCAATTGGACCAGGAATGGACAGCTGACCCACACTGGATCAATCAGTTTCCCTTTCCCAAGATTTTGGAATTCAAATTTAGAGGCAATGAATGTGTCTTTGTCTAAAACTATAACCTGTAACTCAGAAGTTATAAAGTTACCATATTCTGTCATGTACATGGATAAGTAGAAAAATCCCATCTGCAGAGAAAAAAAAAGAAGAAAAAAGACAGTCACCAACAATACAGTGAAACAGATGTGCAGAGAAGGCATAACAGAGGCAGAGAGAAAATTCTGAAATGTTCTCAGTTCCCAGCTCTCCTTCCTTCTGAAGGCCACCACATCCCTGCTCTTAGATTCCATGAGTCACATATAGTAAAGTTCCCTTTAGTTTGCCAAGCAAACCCAGATTATACAAATGATAGAAAAATAAAAGCCAATAAAATAAATGTAGGAAACAGAAAATGAAGCTAAGACTGAACCAATCTTTAATTATAAACCCTACTGAAAAGAGGTAGGCTGTCATATGTCAGCTCTCCCAAGGCCTACCCTAGTTCTCCATGTACAGGCAAGCCACAAACATAATTGCTCTGTGCCTAGGCTGGTGTTTAGAATTAGCACTCCTTTCAATATTGTTCACAACAAAGACAAAATGGAGATAAAAATAAAGCTCAAAATGAAACTGAACCCAACCATTGTTCCCCTTCCGTATTAGGATATTTTTCTAAAAGTGAATTCTCCAGAGAAGAGGACATCACAAAGGAAACAGATGGTTACTTTAAGGAAAGCAGGAGACATTCCATATTGCCTTTCCCTTGCTCCTTTTTTTTTAACTGGGAGGACTTAAGCAGTTATGGTTATTCCTCACATACATTTCAGCCATTCTGTTTATGCAATGCAAAAGATGGATAATTGCACTACTGCACTACAAAACAAGCAGCTGAATGTGGAATGGTACTCAGAAATGGAAACCTTGTTAGATAGTATTAGTGAATCAACACATGAAACAAATTGTTCACTTTTTGCTCAGCCCATTAGCTGCAAGGATGAAAGGAATTGCTCTCTCAACACATAATATTCCAATTTCCTATTTTTATTTAGCATTGCCCTTTCCTCCTGTGCAAATAATATAGATTTATATTCTGGACCTAATTTGTTCCCTCTGACCAGGAGTTTATTTTAGTGAGAGACAACTTAAGCAATCGCTTTGTGAAATGCAGCCTTGGGAACTTAGTATCTCTCACATAGAAGGGATTGATTGGGCCTTCCTTTTAAGTGTATGGTCCTGTGACTAGAACATAACATCCACCAACCACTATGCCCTGTATTACAGTTTTTCTAAGAAAGACAATTGTGGAGTGGCTCAGAGCCCACTTCCCACAGTTCAATTACATGCATAATAATCATGATAAGTCTGTAAATGAGGTATTTTCATTATTTTTCAGAAAACTAAACTATAACTCAGAAAGTGTCAATAATTCTATAGTGATCAAGCAGCTTACTAGTAAGTAGAGAAACCAGAATTTGTACTTCTGTTTACATGATGTCAATGCCCATGTTCTCTCTTCTACACTCTGGGAGACAAGTTTTATTTAAAGGTGCCCTAATGAAAACCAGATCATCCTAAGAGTTACAGTGAAAAACTGGGACAGCAAAAGTCTTATCCAGTTATCTAAGCTGCTTCTCATCATAAGCTGAATTCGCTTTTATTTTCTTTTTCCATGGAACAAACCAGAGAGTGACCTATAGAATGAATCTCAAGTTGGTCACCTGGAGTCTAATTTAAACACTTCTGTTGAGCAATTTTGCTGGCCACATTTCACTGAAATCAAGTCACACCACTCCCAACATTAGAGTAGTATAAACAGGTCACATACCCCAGATGCCCCATATTTCTATAGCATAGGAAGGACAAAAGGATGCAAATAGTACAGGCACAGCTTGCTTCATTGCACTTCACTTTATGACACTTCACAAATGCTGTATTTTTTACAAATCAAAGGTTTGTGGCAATCCTGCATCAAGCAAGCCTATCAGCACAATTTTCCAACAACATGTCTTCACTTCCTGTCTCTGTGTCACATCTTGGTGATTCTTGCAATCTTTCAAGCATTCTTATTATCATTATATGTTATGGTGATCTCTGATCAGTGATCTTTGATGTTAGCATTGGGAGTGTTTGGGGGCACCATGAACCATGGTCATATAAGGCAAATTAAATCAATACATGTTATATGTGCTCTGACTGCTCCACCAATCAGCCATTCTCCCATCTCTCTTCCTGTCCTCAAACCTACTATTTGCTGAGACAAAATGATATTGAAATTAGGTTAATTAATAACCCTACAATGACCTCTAAGTGTTCAAGTGAAAGGAAGAGTCACACATCGCTCACTTTCAATCAAAAGCTGGAAATGATTATGCTTAGTGAGAAAGGCATATCAAAAACCAATATAGCCCAAAAACTAAACTTCTTACACTAGTTTACCAAATAGTGAATGAAAGAAAATATTCTTTAAGGAAATAAAAAATTCTACTCTAGTGAACATACAAATGATAAGAAAGCGAAACAGCCTTATTGCTGGTATGCAGAAAGTTTGAGTCGTCTGGATAGAAGATCAAACCAGCCACAACATGCCCTTAAGCAGAGCTTGATCTAGAGCAAGGTCCTAACTCTGTTCAATTCTTTTGAGGATGATTGAAGTAAGAAGGTGCAGAAGAAAACTAGAAGCTAGAAGTCAGTTCATGAGATTTAAGGAAAGAAGCCATCATCATCACATTAAAGTGCAATGTGAAGCAGCAAGTGCTGAGGGAGAAGCTGCAGCAAAGTTATACAGATCTAGCCAGGATTGTTGATGAAGGTTATACCAAACCACAGGTTTTTCATGTAGACAAAACAGCCGTCTATCAGAAGACAATGCCATGCAAGACTTTCATAGCTAGAGGGGAGAAGTTAAAGCTTCAAAAGACAAGCTGACTTTTTTGTTAAGAGTGAATGCAGCTGGTCACTGTTAAGTTGAAGCCAATGCTCATTAACCACGGCAAAAAATCCTAAGGCCCTTAAGAATTATGCTAATTCTACCTGTGCTCTAGAAATGTAACAAAGCCTAGATGAAAATGCATTTATTTATAGCATTGTTTACTGAATATTTTAAGCCTATAGTTGAGACCTACTGCTCAGAAAAAGAGATTCCTTTCAAAATACTACTGCTCATTGACAATGTTCCTAGTCTTCTAAGAGCTCTGAAGAAGATATACAAGGGAATAATATTGCTTTCAGGCCTGCTGATACAGTATTCATTCTGCCGCCCATGAATCAATTAGTAATTTTAAGTTTTAAGTCTTATTTAAGACACACACTTCATAAGAGCATTGTTGCCATTGGTTGTGATTTATCAGATAGATCTGGGCAAAGTAAATAAAAACTTTCTGGAAAGGATTTAGTATTCTAGATGTCATTAAGTATATTTGTGATTTATAGGAGGGGGTCAAAATATCAACACTAAGAGAAGTATGGAAGAAGTTGATTCCATTCCTCATGTATGACTTTTTAGGGGTTCAAGACTTCAGTGGAGGCAGCAACTGCAGATGTGGTAGAAAGAACAAGAGAATTAGTATTAGAAGTGGAGACTTAACGATGTAACAACATTGCTGCAAACTCATGATAAAACTTGAACAGATGAGGAACTGCTTTTATGGAGGAGCAAAGCAAGTGTTTTCTTGAGATGGTCCTACTCTTGGTGAATACACTATGAACTACTGAAATGACAACAAAGCATTTAGAATATTTCATAAACATAATTCATAAATCAAGAGCAAGGTTTAGGAGGATTAACTCCAACTCTAAAAGAAGTTCTACTATGGGTAAAATGCTATAAACAACACTGTGTGCTACAGAGAAATATTTCATAAAAGGAAAAGTCAATCAATATGGCAAACTTTAGGGTTGTCTGATTTTAAGAACTTGCCACAGCCATCCCATCCTCCAGCAACCACCACCCTGATCAGTCAGCAGCCATCAACATCATGGCAAGACCTCCCACCAGCAAAAAGATTATGATTCACTGAAGGCTCAGATGACTGTTAGCATCTGTTAGCAATAAAGTATTTTTAATTATGATATCTCCATTTTTAGACATAATGCTATTGCATACTTACTAGACTACAGTGTAGTACAAATATAACTTTTACGTACATTGAAAAAACAAAAAAAATTGTGTGACTCACTTTATTGCTATATTTGCTTGATTGCAGTGGTCTGAAACCAAACCCACAATATCTCTGAGGTTTGCCTGTACTTCTTCAGGAAGTTATCATTCCCAGAACCAACAGGAAAAGTGTGAAGAAAGCAAATCTAAAATCCTTTACCCCTTCTCTCCTGCTTTCATTATAGATGTTAGCACTTTTTTGATGCCAGTGATAGGATGCAGGAAAATGAGAGCAGAGAGGAGCGGTCATTTATTAGCTCATGGACCTAGAAAGTCTAAGTGCACATCTGGCTACATGCACAGCTAAATCTGTTAGCTTGATAATGCCATGAAGACATTGTCTGTATCTCTTACACCTGGCCTTGCATTCTCTGTCTGGTGGTCCATGGAAGTTCCAGACTCACTTTCTACCACCTTACAATTATAGAAGAAAGCAGTACACCTCTTTCTCCACGTCCAGGGTTTGGCTTTAACTGGCCC